AGGTGCTTTACGAGAAAGCCTAGTACCCCGCCTCGGACGGACCGAATGAGGCGGCGCGACGAGAGCTTGACTTGGCGCCACGATCAACCAATTGGTCAATCGAAGCGCAGACTCCACCGCCACCGAGTAGTAACACTCCGTGGGGTGATGTGGGGGACAAGCACTCCGTCACGCATGCTCCCAGGCATATCCCGGGAGCGCAAGATGCGTTCAAAGGTTTGATGATTCACTGGATTCTGCAATTCGCATTACGTATCGCATTTCGCTGCGTTCTTCATCGTTGTGGGAGCCAAGACATCCGCCGGTAAGAGTTGTATGGCATTTCGCTTGATCAAAATTAGTTCTTACACTAATCTTTCGGCGTCAGCATGCGCTGGTTCACCCGTTTGGTTAGAATCGGAGTGTGAGTGACTGTGGACGATGACCCAATCAAGAGTACACCGAAGTCAGAGGTACTAACTCAATAGTACCGGTTCGCTGGGGTGTGTGTTAGGTGTGGATATTAGGTAATGATCCCTCCGCAGGTTCACCTACGGAGACCTTGTTACGACTTCACCTTCCTCTAAATAGTGAGGTTTAACCAACTTCCCGAGGTACGTTCGCCGTGAAGCTTGCGAACCCCAGTCCGGAGGTTTCACCGAACCATTCAATCGGTAGGTGCGACGGGCGGTGTGTACAAAGGGCAGGGACGTAATCAATGCGAGCTGATGACTCGCGTTTACTAGGAATTCCTCGTTCATGATTGAAAATTGCAACAATCAATCCCAATCACGGCACACGTTCACAGATTACCCAGGCCTGCCGACCAAGGTGATAGACTCGTTGCGTGTGCCAGTGTAGCGCGCGTGCGGCCCAGGACATCTAAGGGCATCACAGACCTGTTATTGCCCCCAGCTTCCTTCGGTTAGTCACCGAAAGTCCCTCTAAGAAGTTGAGGCAATGCAAGCGCATTCCCACAGCTATTTAGCAGGCGGGGGTCTCGTTCGTTAACGGAATTAACCAGACAAATCACTCCACCAACTAAGAACGGCCATGCACCACCACCCATAGAATCAAGAAAGAGCTCTCAATCTGTCAATCCTTACTATGTCTGGACCTGGTAAGTTTCCCCGTGTTGAGTCAAATTAAGCCGCAGGCTCCCACTTTACTAAAGAAGGGTCTGCTAGAGGGTCTTTTATACTGTCTAAGACTTGTATTACATGTGTATTACAACTGTATTACACTCTGTACTACATGTCTTTGGTCGGGTAAGGTTGGGTATCCTCACCGGTCTCGGAGTCTACAAGGGTATACGCGCTGGGATCGTCGTCCGCAAGGGTCTCACCGCCGGCATCGGAGTCTGCTCGGTTGAGCCGAAGCAAAGCCTCCTTTGCTTCAGCCTTACTTTTGTAGACCGTTTTCCCAGGCGACGTGAACACTTGGTTCCTTCCAGACGGAGTGGTCATCTTCCCGTGCCAATAGACAGTGTATTGCATGTGTATTACACAAAAGACAGTTTGTAATACATGCGTATTACAACACTCTAGCGACGTTCTAATGAATCCATCGGCCGGTGTATTACACTTGTGTAATACAACCGGTCGACCTCAAAGGCTCGGGGAGTGCACGCTCCTTCATCCGATGAGCTCTCTCTCAAGAGGGGCGGACTATATCTTAAGCATCGGCGCGGTCAACCGCGCCGACACCCATCACCACTTAGTCTCTGGACCTTCACCGTGACCGCTTGCAATACATGTATACCCAACTGTAATACACTGTAATACACGCGGCTTTAGGCGCTTGGCTGCTGATTGCCTCTATCCGAAGCATTTTCACTTCGAGCGTCTAAGCTCGATTTGACCCGGGTTTCCCCGAGCCTTTAGTAGCTCCGGCCTATCGAGGTTTCCCAGCAATTCGATGATGTTGCCGCCGCCGTTCCCGTGCAGTTCGCGGAACGGTGCGACTAGCGCACAATAGACACGCAACTAAGGACGCGTCGAGGGGACGCGCGCCGGAAGAGTACCAATTCGTTGCTTGTGCGCTGGAGCAGAACCCGTGCGTTTGAAACA